GGAGGGGAAACTGCCTCCACAGACAGTCTGTTGTGCAAAAATTCATTGTGGAGGAGGTCCATTGTGTGGGGGTTGACTGTAGTCTTTTGTGAAAAGTCTGCTATGTGAATTCGATTTTCCCATGTGTTTACACTTCTGCAAAACAAGCTAAATTACAACCAAAAGAACTAAAAAACACAACATGTACACATTCATGGTAATAATACTGACAATTTATATTCAAATTGAGTTGGGAAACAAGAGGTATAACCTGAGGGACTCACGTCCACTGATGGTGTGCACTTATACAGACTGAAGTCTGTTATGCAGATTTGTCTGTTATGCAAGAGGCAAAACTGCCTCGAGAAGCAATCTGTTCTGCAAAAATCTGTTGTGCAGGGGTTGATTGTATTCAAGACAGAATTGCATCAACTCAAAGATTTTTTTTAAACAAACAGACATTATGATGATGGAAGTAATTATGATCGAGTTATGCCTCGTAAGCTCTTAAACTGAACTTGATTTGCTCCAAATGCGCGTTTTTTTCAAGTTAAAGTGGAGACGATAAAAATGTTGATTCACCCACAGCAATGAAATTGCGAACAACTTATTTATTCCACAACTGTTTTCTCAGAACCAAAATAATATTCATATTAGTTCAACTCACACCATCATGCAGCACCCGCACGAAAAAAAAAAACAGTTATGCCCGAATTGTTGATGCCAAAAAATTATGCTAAAAAATCTGCTGAAAATCTGGACAATTTTTCAACATTTGGACACAGCCAAAATTTAAAGAAAATCATTTATTTTTATTTTGATACCCCTACATGCAAAAAATTATGCTAAAAATCTGCTGAAAATCTGGACAATTTTTCAAAATTTGGATACAGCCAAAATTTAAAGAAATCATTTTTTATATTTTGATATCTCTGGAAAAAGTGCTATTAATATGGACATGAAGTCAAAACAAATGCATTATTTAAAATAGAAGACATGATTACCAGACCAGAATCATTCTGCCGATTCTAAAATTTTCATAAACTTTGTCTCACCCTTTACAAACAAAACTTTGAAAAACCTATTCAAAATTTCAGACGACCCTCGAAATGTTTCCTGTCTGAGGATCAAAGACGCCCGGAACGCAGGAAACCCCGAAAAAGCCAGTTAACCCTAAAATAAAAAGCTTTTAGCAAATTATTTGAATTATTTTGTGGAACTCAATCATTGAATTTTTTATTCTTAATTCCGTATCAAATGATTTCGTTAAAAGTAGAGACCAAAAAAGTGAACATTATGCCATGGAAACTTGAACGAACCTGAATCAACATGAACGTTTGTTTGAACCTGGTATCTTGAAAAATTCATGGCATGGAAATGTTTACAAACCAAATTATAGTTTTTTTTCACCCTGTGTGTCTAAAAATCATCCCAGGCAGAAATATACGCACAGCAGTTCCGGAGTCTTGGGCAGATAATTCCTGAAATATTCACCATGTCCTATCTAAATTATTCCTGCGTGGAAAGAGTTCTTCAGAATTTTGAGCCCGATGCGAGAAGGATGGAAGATACGGAAACAAAAATAAAGATCCAAAAAGGGGGGGGGGGGGGCTTCGCAAATTTATCGAGCTCCCCTTTAAATAAAGAATCAGCAACTCCCAGATCTTCACTGCGGAGTGCGGACTTTCGCGTGTCGTCGTGGGCCTAGTTTCTGTTTCCGCCCTGAACATGTCAACACGGAAATTGAGCATATGCGAAAGGCAATAAAAGTTTACTCGTGCATTCGAATATTTTTTTCCCTAAGGTGGGGTTCACAGAAAAAAAAAACATCGATCACGGAAATTAATGCGGATACGAAATAGCTTGACGATGTATTTGGACCAGTGATGGATAATGAGGGAGCGATTTAAAAGTTTTGTTACTTCATTAAAATGAAATTCTTGGAATAATCAATCAATCATTCACCCCGTTTGGATGCCAGTGAGACCCAGAAAAAGGAGTCTCCTTCAAGTTCATTTATTTCCAAATTGTGTCCTTTAATCTCATCCCGGAAGTGCGGATTTTCTTTTTAATCGACATTTTAAGACCCTGCATCTTTCGTAAAATTACCGAGATGAAACCTTTTGGTATTTAAGCAAGGTTTTCGTGTCCAAAAATCTTTAAGAATGCAGTTTTTTTTTAATTTTGGGAGTCTCGTTTCGTCATCGGGTGCACTTTCAAATACCTCTCATCTTCTTGAATTTTAACTTGATGTGCAAAAATCATAGAGCAAGATTAAGTAAAGGAAATCACACGATTCAATTTATGAATCGCTTCATGTATGCTCACGTTTTTCTTCATGCCTACAAAGTTTTTATGCAAGTATTTTCAAGTAAACAGGTAGAATCTCTTTACAACGATCTTGTCTACCGAAATTTTCTCTGCACAGTACTGTATAACGATACGTATTTTTTTGTTTCATGCGGTTCTCTCCCCATTTTATAGGATTTCTCTAACATAGCGAAAAAACTAAATTCTCTCCACAACGAATTTTTCGCTGGTCCCTGGGATTTCGTTGTAGAGAAAGAGAGAGTCCACTTGTATTTTTCCAATGATTGTGGAAAATTATAAAAAATGACGAAATTCTTCAAAAATATTTTCCGTATTTATAGCGAGTGCAGCAGTGTTTATCTGAGACTGTTTTGTTCGAGGGCTCTTTTCGTATACTGTATTTGCTAGAAAATATTCTGCATGTATAAGGGCCCCTGCAAGTTTCAGCACTTGCTCTGTTGAGAATTTTCGGGCTGATAAAATTTTTATTTTTTCTAATTCTTCTTCACTCGTCTGTATACATTTGACCCCCGCACAACGGACTTGATTACTGCAAAAGACTATAGAGTCAACCCCCTCAGAACGGACTTAATTTGTGCAACAAGCTATAGTATGTTGTGTGAAATGTCTATATACAAACTCAAGTATAAAATAATATAAATTTTTATTTTTACATAGATTTTCAACTCGCAGAAGTTTGTTTTGCAGATTTAGTCCATTGCGTGGGAGGGGAAACTGCCTCCACAGACAGTCTGTTGTGCAAAAATTCATTGTGCAGGAGGTCCATTGTGTGGGGGTTGAATGCAGTCTTACGTGAAAAGTCTTTTATGTGAATTCGATTTTCCCATGTGTTTACACTTCGGCAAAACAAGCTAGATTACAACTAAAAGAACTAAAAAACACAACATGTACACATTCATGACAATAATAATGACAATTTATATTCAAATTGAGTTGGGAAACAAGAGGTATAACCTGAGGGACTCACGTCCACTGATGGTGTGCACTTATACAGACTGAAGTCTGTTATGCAGATTTGTCGGTTATGCAAGAGGAAAAACTGCCTCCAGAGGCAGTCTGTTCTGCAAAAAACTGTTGTGCAGGGGTTGATTGTATTCAAGACAGAATTGCATCAACTCAAAGATTTTTTTTTAAACAAACAGACATTATGATGATGGAAGTAATTATGATCGAGTTATGCCTCGTAAGCTCTTAAACTGAACTTGATTTGCTCCAAATGCGCGTTTTTTTCAAGTTAAAGTGGAGACGATAAAAATGTTGATTCACCCACAGCAATGAAATTGCGAACAACTTATTTATTCCACAACTGTTTTCTCAGAACCAAAATAATATTCATATTAGTTCAACTCACACCATCATGCAGCACCCGCACGAAAAAAAAA